ACTGTCCAGGCAGAGTCCATTGCTTCCTTCTCTGGGCTCCTCTGACTCCTGCAAACAGCTCAGCTAGAGCCACCCCTAGGCTATCAGGTGGCAGTAAGTATTTTGCAGGTGCCTGTCTTCCCTCATTGTTTGGGGGATGTTTTACTTCTCTTTACATCCCTAATGCCTGAGGCCTTGGTACATAGTAGGTGTGCGGATGTGTGCTGAAACAATGAGAGAATACAGCTGAGGACGAGTACAAGGCGTATACAGCCTTTGCCCTTTCCTCAAGGCGGTGTTAAGTGCTAGGAGGCATTCCTGGGCGGTGTAAACACTTAACTCCCTCTGCTGGAAGGTTTGAGTCCACCCAGAGGCACCTAGGAAGAAAGGCCTGGAGATCTACTGAAAAATCAGACATGGAAAACTCTATGGAGCACAGTTCTACTCTGACACACATGGGGTGGTCATGAGTTAGAATTGACTCAATGACAACTGGTTATCAAGGAAGGAGACAGGGAATGGATACCAAGTAGACAGCTAGCTGACTCTACCACAATTATTCTCTCTTTGTGCTTCAAAGTTCCTTGCACACATGTCTGTTATGGCAGACATCACATTAACGCATAGAGGAGACATATGTCTACGTGTCTATGACTCCTACTAGACTAAAAAACAAAAAACAAACCGGTTGCCATCAAGTCGATTCCAACTCATAGCGACCCTATAGGACAGAGTAGAACTTCCCCATCGGGTTTCCAAGAATTCCAAGGAGCAGTTGGTGGATTTGAACTATCGACATTTTGGTTAATGGCTCTCAATTCAGCCTGCACTTTAGAATACCTGGGGACCTTTTAAAAAATACCCTAGACCCCATCCACAGAGATTTTATAGTGAGAGCATTATATATTTAAGCTCTCTGTTACATATCTGCTTCCTGCACTAGGCTGCTTCCCCATGTCTTACTTATATTTGCATTTCCTGCACGTAGTGGATTCTCAAGGTGTCCAGGTGAAGCCCAAGCATAAATAATTTTTTTCAAGCCCTTCAAGTGAGTCTGATGAGCAGGTTGAGTTTTGAGAAGGTGTGATGGACCCAGCACCTTAAGAACAGAATCTGTACCTTCTTCAACTAACACAGTACTTGGAATATAGGGCTTGCAGGAAATCTTCACTGAATGAATGAATGAATGAGCGGCAGAGAAGAATTTCCCCTCCAATTTCTGTCAACCCCCACCCCTACCCTGCACTGTGCATTGTCCTGACTGGGGTTCCTCCTCTCCCCAACAGTTTTCCCATCTTTACTGAGCACTGCCCTTAGCCACCCTCAGTTAAACACCATCGACAGCTCCAGATCAACTCTCCTATGTGGACAGAATGCCTGCTTCTCCCACAGCTGCTGTGCTGGATATCCTAGCCCCACTCTTTCCCGGTACCTGCCCTTGCTGAGAAGGAGTTGACTCTCTCCATCAACAGCCAGGCTCAACTCTTGTGCCATAGCTAAACCCCATGTCCAGTGTGAGAGAAGGGCAGTGGGAGGAGTCGAAGCCCACATGCTTTCTACACGACATTTAGCCACAACCCTGAAATGGACCCCTGAGTATTGAGCCACAGAGTGTTGGGCCTAAGGAAAAAGCAACCCAAAGAAAAAATTTTTGCTTCTCCTCCACAACTGGATGGTGCCCAGCTGCCATTAATGAATGTTTAGATCGAAGACTCTACAGAAGAAACCTGATCAAAAGGGAAAAAAATGCAATACAGAATTCCAAATTCTCATGAAATCCAGACTTGAGTTTGGATGAATCACAGAATCTGAGCCATTGAGTTTGGATGAATCACGGAATCTTCCCCTGAGATAATCTTTTAACCTTAAACCAAAAATATCCCCTGACGCGTTCTTTAAACCAAACAATAGTTTACCTTAGCTAGTAAAGAATGTCTGCCTTGATCATTATGCTCTTTTAAGAACTATCTATATGGCATCAGAATGACAACAGCAACTCATAAGATTAGACAGGGAGTCTAGGGGAGAGTGAGTTTATGTTAATGAGGGAGGAACAACTCCAAAAAGGAGGGTGAGAATGGTTGCACAACTTGGAGAATGTAATCAATGGCACTGAATTGTACATGAAGAAATTGTTGAATTATGTACGGTCTGCTGTGTATATTTTTAACAACAAAAATAAATAAATTTTTAAAATGTTCTTTTTTTAACTTCTGCTCAAGTGTAGAAAATGTATCTTATCTGATTCCTTGGATATATGTGAGTCTGAGAAATGTCCCTGTTGACGTCACAAGAATGAGTCAGCAGTTTGTACATCCCCAGAGGTGACATCATTCAGTATCCTGTCATCTGTCTGGCCCCCATCATGCTCCTGAAACTGCTTGTTCAAAGATCACCCACAGGACTGCTTCACAGGTGTATGTCCTGTGCAGTCACACACAGCCATCTCCTCAGAAGGGTCCTGTATTTGGCTGAATGCTCTGCTGTCATCATCTTGAAATTCTTAACAGTTTTTGAACAAGGGGCCCAACATATTCATTTTGCACTGGGCCCTACAAATTATGTGTCCAGTCCTGGCCACCCATAATGTCTTACAAAATCTAGCAATGTTTTCTTTCTCAGAAATGTCTTCAGAACATATGACTTCAGCCTCCCTTGTGAAAGTCCTCCCTGGTCTCTGTGACACCCCAGTCTCCTGTTCTCTTCCACCTCTCTGACCTGGTGGGAGTAATGCAGGGTTTGATGCGATACTGTGGGTGTCATGAGGGGTCAAAAGGCAAGGAACACAGGGTATTGGCAAGGGAGGCACAGAGGAAGGAGCGGGGCCAAAAGGCTAGAGGAGGTGGTTAGAAGGAGTCAGGAAATGGGCTCTGGTCTCAGTTGGGCCACTGCCTCACTGTGTAACTCTGGTCACATTCCCTCTCTAGGCCTCAGTTTACTATGTGCAATCTAAGAGGGTTGGACTAGATAGTCTCAAAGATCCATTCCAGCTCTGCCATCCTTTGAGGCTCTAAGCTCTAGCACCAAACCGGAGATGGTACAGGTAAGATGGTGACATGCCACAGGAGGCTGAGTTATGTGTGGCCAAGGCAGCCAGTGGCTGGGGTTGAAAGTCTGGGGAGTTAGAGAGGATAAGGTAAGGTAATGGATGAGCTAAGGTAACAGATGGGTCATCCACATGGGTATTAGCATCGGTGATCTCTTGTCACCCCTGCCCTGCAGAGCACAGAAGATGTGGTGGAGAGGAAAAACCTGACCTGGTGCTGAAATCCTGGAGAAAGGTCAAAGCATGTTCTGGAAGACAGTAATCATAACAACTGGCCTTTGCACAGTACTCCACAAAGTGCCTTCACATCCACTAAACCCTCCAACCCTGCATCAGCATTCTCACTTGCAAAGGCAGACTCAAGGGTGCAGAGAGGCTTGCTGGTATGCCCAAAGTCACGCACAAATCTCACCTTCTGGCTTCAAATCCTTCCTTCCCACTACCCAGTGAGCATTAGGGGAGGGTTGGGTAATGGGGTGGCATGGTAGGATCAGGAGGCCCTGGGGAATAAGAAGTCGTCCAAGCCCTCCTTAGCACCTAGACGTGTGGGAGAGTTAAAAGTGCCACCTTGGGCGCCCAGAAACTGAACGAGGCTGAGCCAGTTCCAACTCAGAACATAAAAGCAATGGGAAAACTCAGACTTCAGGCATCTTGAAGAACCCCTTCCATTCCTAGAGGGGTCATTTACCAACACTGCCGAGAACAAACAAAAGTTGAACCACAGCGCCCCCTGGCAGGCAAGAGGGCTGGGTACCCCAGAGGAGAGGAGATGAGGTCCTTCAGAAACACATTTTCCAAGGAAAAAGCTGAGACTAGTAGTTTGCTCACCATTGAAGAAGGTGACACAGGGCATGGTAGAAAGGCAGAGAAAGAAATTGGGGGGAGTGATGGAGTTGGGGGAGACAGGTTGCTGGAGGCAATGAATGCAGGATGGAGCCACCCCAGTTCTGCACCCCCAGGCCTACCCAGTAGGGACCCCTTCTGCTCAGTCAGGTTCCAGGCAAGGGAGAGAGGTTCTGGGGAGTCAGAGTTTCAGCCCCAGCTGGGAAGATGCCATATCAGGGTCTTGAGAGGAAATAAATTGGGGCTGGTCTACCCACAGCAGAGAGTTCATCAGGGTCCAGGATCTGCCCTGTCTTGGCATTGCCTGGTCAGGCCATGGCTCAGGTATCTGACACCTGGGGCCCAGAGTCACATGCCAGGAAACCTAACACTCTTGGGCCCCAGCCCCCAGCTTCCAGCAGCTACGAGCAAGCGGGGCTTCTGGAGGAGGAAGCGGGTCTCCAGAGCTGAGCATCAGGGAGGCTACTTTCTGGGAGAGGGCAGCACAGGAGAAGGCTCTCCTGCCAACAGGGGTGAGAGGCTGGCAGGAGGAGGGAGAGGATGAGGGAGGAAGAATGGGGCAGGGAAGACAGTGCTGGGGCAGGCAGAGGGGTAGGTGCCTGAAAAGGAAAAGGGAGTGGTAGGCACAGAAGGTGGGGCCTACGGTACCCCTTGTCTAGTCACCTAGCCTAACTGGATGCCCTAAAGTGCTATTGCTGTCCTCGTTGTCTTCTTCACACTAGTGCCTACCTGGGCCCACCTGGCAATTACCTAGGTAGGCTGGGGGAAGAAGATTTTATTCCAGTGAGGGACATCAATACATAGGTGAGGCAGAAGCTTAAAAACTCCCAGACCAAGAATGGCCAACAGAGCCTTGGTCGACAGGCCAAGGGACTTCATAGATTAACCCTCCAGAACCAAAGAGACCCCAGGAGGGTCTCAAGCCCAGGGGATACCTTTACCTAAAGGGCCCTACTGAGGAGCCGTAGGCCAAGAGAGGGAACTAAGAAAGTCACTCAGGCCTGAGAGAACCCCCAAAGAAGGGGCCCCAGCCCAAAGAGACCCCAGAGAGGGACCTCAGGAAGGGAGGCCCACAGTGGGGAATAGGGTTCTCTTTACTCAATCTTTCTTTATGGGGCCTTTTCTTCCCCAGATCCTACTCCACCCCAGGACTATGTCAAGCTGTGGCCATGCTCCCACCAGTCAGCCACCTCCTGCCCCTCCTGCTGATGATAGGCATGGGGGGTACTGTGTCCAGCCCTCGGACACCTCCCCAGGGCTGCTACGTGGCAGAGGAAGCTGGTGAGCGGACGTTCCGCTGCAGCCAGGCAGGCCTGAGTGCTGTGCCCACTGGCATCCCCAACGACACCCGTAAGCTCTACCTGGATGCCAACCAGCTGGCATCAGTTCCAGCTGGTGCCTTCCAGCACCTGCCTGTCCTAGAGGAGCTGGATCTGTCCCATAATGCCCTTGCCCATCTCTCAGGGGCTGCTTTTCAGGGCCTGGCGGGCACTCTGCGCCACCTTGACCTCTCTGCCAACCAGCTGGCCTCGGTGCCTGTGGAGGTCTTCATGGGGCTACAGATCCAAGTGAACCTGTCCGCCAACCCGTGGCACTGTGACTGCGCCCTCCAGGAGGTGCTCAGGAGAGTGAGGCTGGCACCAGGCACTGGGACGGGCATTGTGTGTGGCCCGGGAGCCCGACCGGATCTTGTGGGGCAGGAGTTCCTGCCACTGGCAGGGGAGGAAGAGCTGTGTGGGACGGGGCGAGGTGGGGCCCAGCGGAGCACCGATGTGGCCCTGCTGGTCACCATGGGAGGCTGGCTGGTGCTCGTGGTGGCCTATCTGATCCACTACGTGTGGCAGAACCGAGATGAGGCCCGGCGCCCCCTCAAGCAGGCCCCAGTGCTGCCCGTGTGCTCCGAGGACTCCTCTACTCTTAGCACAGTTGTCTGATGGCCAGGGAGCACGCCTCCTTGCCCTGCACCCCACATTCCTACCCCTACGCCCTCTCCTTTCCTCTGACCCACTCTGCCACCTCTGCAGTTTCACCCCACCCCCAAATTCCATCCCACCCCTACCCTTCCTTCTCTGTCTCCCCTAACCAACTGATTTCTCGCTCAACCAACTCCATCTTTGACCACCTATTCTGTGCCTGGATTGTGCTAGACTCAGAGAACCCAAAGTTCCCGAGTCCACAGTCCTGGGGGGGCGACAGAACAGAGAATGACAGCAGGTGGTATGTGTGCCAACCAGGAAGAAGGAGCAGGTAGCTGTGGGAGCACTGAGGAGGGAGCTGCTACCTGGCTGAGGGTGACCTCAAGGGCTTCGCGCTATAGACGTTTGAACTGACAAAGAGTGAAGATGACTTTGGGCAGAAAAAGGGGAGAGACGCTAGATGGAAGGTCATGTGCAAAGGCAAGGAAGATGTAAAACAATCTGGAATGTTTGGGCAGTGGCAGGACCTACCTCGGGGCTGGAATAGAGGAGCAAATAGTGGTGAGAGGAAGGTGGGGCCGAGCTGGAGGTGCTGTCAGAAAGTTGAGGTGCGTCCCTGTGGGTGCCTCCTTTCTTCTCCTCCATCCTGTTGCCTCTACTGAGAACAGCCACACCTTCTTGCTCCTCTCTCTTGGCCCCCAGGCTTCTCTCCCAGTATCCTCTTTTGGGGACCCCCTGGCTCAGGGTCACCTGCTTCCTTTTCTGAAGACTCCCCATCTATGTCTTCTTTATAAATTGAAGGGATTCTTGAACCCCCCAAACCTTGGGGGAAAAGTGGTCTGTCTCCTCTAAGACTGATCTGGGGACAGGTAACTAGAGGTTGGGGGCCAAGGAGGTGTCCTGCGCCCAAAACATCACTAAACAATTCAATAAAGTCACTTTTACAAACTCCTCTGATCTCTTCCTTATTGTTCATTTTATTGGACTTTTGTAGGCTGGCAGCAAGAAGGGGTGGGAGGGGTGTTGAGCTCTCCACCACCATCTCCTCTAACACCTCTAGGTGGGGATGCTCCTGCTGGACTGGATGTCAGCTTCCTCTTTCCCCTTCTGCCTCCCAGCTCCTGACACCAGAATCTATCTGCTAGGGAAGCCAGGGCCTATGAATTAAAGGTGATGGAATGGGAAGGGTGAGGGATGAGGGGGTTCTGGTGGGAGGACAAACAGGGAGGAGGAAGAGAGGGCAGCATCAAGGCATCAGTCATCAGGCCTTAGGTCTCCAGCCTGCTGGCCCATGCAGCCTCTCTAGGACCTGGGAGGGGAGGAGAGGGGGCGTAGGAGGCACAGGGATAAGGGAGCTGCTACCCTTTTGGCAATCTGCCTTTTCTTTTGGTGGGAGAGTCTGACTAGAGTGTAGGAAGAAACCAGATGAGCTCAAAGTTAATAAAAGAATTCCTGGGGGAAGGGAGACTAAGTTGGCTGAAAGAGAAGGGTATATGAGATATCCCTGTTCCCAAACAGACTTCTCAAGGGACCCAAAGAGGTCAACACACCCTATCCCCTGCCTCCATGCAGGCTGATTTGCCCATGTGGGCTCCATTGAAGAGAGCTGCTTTTGGGAAGCTCATGGGAGCCCCAACAGAAACTGAAGATAAGAACCGTTGAACCCGGGTTCCACCCAGCCTGGAGCAGAGATCTGTGGGCGGCCACCCAAGGAGTGGCAGAGAGGAATCCACTGTCTCCCCTGGCCTTTCTGCCCCATCCTGCCTTCTTGTCTCTTCCCAGGCTCCCCACACTTCCACTGGTCCCCATCTGATCCCTGAGGCTCCCCTCCCCCCACCACTCCAAGTGTGAGCTCCCTAATATCATCCAGGAAGCCTTATCTTGACCCACCTCAGAAAAACCTGAACCCAATCCTCTTTTCTCAAGAGACATGGGCCTCCCAACTCCAGGGATACTCAGGGATGGGGGAAAGAATTAGGGTTGGGAAATTTCAGGTTGCAGCTTTGAGTCCCAGCAACACCCTGGCCTGGGCCTTGGAATCCTGGCCCCATCCCTATCAAAGCTACCATCACTCCCTCCCTTGCCACTGTCAGGGTCTGTCCCATTCTGCTTGCCTACCCTCTATTGGAATCAGGTTGGAACGCGTTTCACTGGGTTATGGGAAGTAGACTGTGTAGACCTGTGGAGGTGGGAGAGTGGGGGATGGGGGGGCAACCGTCTCTATCACGGTGCCCATTCCTGGAGCCTCATTCAACTCTCTGTCATCCGAGCAGCAGAGGCCACATCTGAAAGCCTGCAGAGAGCCACTCCCCCTATCCTGACACCCAGCCCCAGTTCTCAGAGGTGAGCTTAGGGTGGGAAAGGATCCAGGCAGGTCAGCTTTGGCTGTAGTTCAGATAGGCGGGGTCCTGGAGCCAGGGGTCCTGAGCCCTGGATAGCAAGCATTCCACCAGTCATCACCATGGCCTTCGTCACTCAGTTTCCTCTCCCCATCTAGAGCTAGAACAGGAGGAAAGGGAGAGGGAGGATGAGTGGGACAAAGAAGGGAGGTGAGGGGAGGTAAGGGGAGATGCTTCACTGACTGCCCTACCTAGGAAGAGAACCCTTCACCCCAGTCAGCTAGAGTCTCTGAGTCAGAACTTGATGGGAAGAGGGTGTCAGAAGCTGTAGCTACAGTTTGGCTATCACAGAGCTGGGCACCCCCAGACTGCTACCTGAAACAGTCACTGAACCTGAGCAACCCCTCAGCACCCTGACCTCTGGGTTGTGCTTGCCCACTGGGCAGGCAAGAGCAGAGTGGCACATTAGCTTCAACTCCATCCTCAGCTCTGCCAGGGACCAGGGACTGGGATCTCGGGACCCGTGTTCCAAGACACCACCTGGGCCCTGGTGAGGCAGCGAATCCTGTTGGGGACCTCATCCCACGGAACGGCCTCATTGATGCTGCCTGCTTCCAGCCCTTCTGCCTAGTATGGAGGAAGAGAAAGTGTATACTCTTCTGGGAGACACAGTACGTCAAGACTGACTTCTCCCTCTGGGCTGTGCTGGAGCCAGAAACGAAACTGCCAGGTACCAAGAGAGCCAGGCCAGATGCCTGGTCCAGTTCTGAGGCACAAGGCGGGCACACATCCCAAGTACCCGGGAGGCCTGGGGGCAAGCTCCAGCTTGTCATCCACACGCAGCATCCTACAGCCAGTGGACTGTGGGTGGGAGTGGGAGGAGAGAGGTCCTTCAGCCCTTCCACCACTAGCTTCTTTTTGCCCAATGCAGCAGAGGCCATGGTAATAGAGAAATCAGGCACTACCCTCAGGGAGCCTCTAGTCTGAGGGGGGAGACATGAACCTAGCTCTGAGGGAACTCCCAGTCTGAGGTGGGAGGCATGAACCTAGCTCTCAGGGAACTCCCAGTATGAGGCGGGAGACGTGAAACTAGCTCTCAGGGAACTACTAGACTAATGAAAGAAATATGATCCTTTCTTTTCGGGGAGCTCCCAGACTGAAGAGACAGAGATATCCCCTAAACACAGAGACTTAAACACCTACAAAGCCTCCTTATCTGCTAAAGGAGATGAACAGAGAGCAAACTGCATACACTGGAGCTGAGAGAGGTAGTAGAGGAGCAATGGATGGGGCACGGCCCCCACCCTTTCTTGTCTTGGGTTCCCCGCAGGTGACTCAAGCACACTACGGAAGCCTGCTACAGAGGGAAGGGATATCAGCATCAAACCAGATGCAGTTCAGTCAGCTTCTTCCAAGGGCAGGGATTGCGTCGCCCTCATTAGACTAAAGAGAATTCAAACCAGAAAGTCTCTCCTCATTTCTCTGGGGCTCAGCCATCAGCAACCTCACCTGCCTATGAGGAAGGTTGCCGCAAACCGAGAAGGCAGAACACAGACAAAACAGGGCCTTCGAGCTGCCAAAATGGATGCCACCACAATTCTACCCATTCACTAGACAAACATTTATTGAGCTGCTACTTCATGCCAGGCATTGCAGATACAAGGATGAGTAAGTCACGGTGCCCACCCTTAAAGACCTGACAGGCTACTATATCACTGACTACAGCCCAGGGTGACAAAAGTGTGCACAGGAGCCATGGAAGCCCAGGAGGAGCATCTAAATCAAACACCGACTGAAGTTCATGTACTTTGTTCACAGGAGCGCTCACTCAGAATTCATTCATTCTTATTTTACACATAGTTCTGATAGTTTTGGAACTATGGCTTCTAGCTGTACGACAGGTTGGAAGCAGTATATTTGAAGTGAAAAAACAGCAAAAAGTCTATTACAGACAGTTGCAATAACAGCAGTGAGAAACAGTGGCCTGACAGCAGGGAGAGACATTCTTAGAAGTATTTTAAGAACTCAAATGCATCTCACTTGGGTCATTTAGCATGTCCTCAATGGTCTTGTGTGGACAAATGATCCTCCCTACCTCAAAAGGCCCTATGGACATTGGCAAAATAGGGAATATTAATTGCATTGACTTTGAGTTACCTATAAAAAGGTCCAGTTTTACAGCATCCACCCTCTGAGGCAGGGAGCAGGTAACACATTAAACAAAGAGTTTCCATACTATCAGGGCCCAAACCCAAAACCCATTGTCTTCAAGTCGATTCAGACTCCTAGCGACCCTAGAGGACAGAATACAACTGCCCATGGGGTTTCCTAGGCAGTAATATTTACGGGAGCAGACTGGCACATCTTTCTCCCGCCCTGTCAGGGCAGAGGTAAATAACACAGAAGGACTGTTGGAAAACACTTCACTATACCTTGCCTATCCCCTTTTCCTTCTTCCTACTGATCTAAGATTTGCCCAGGGCTCACGCAGAGCAAAGCCAATCTATCTTGGGCACGACAGCCTTTGGATATTGAAGATGGCTCTGGAGCCTCCATCACTTGGGGTCAGCACATCACCGTTCTTTTCCATCCTTGTTCCTTTGTCCACTTGTATGTCCCCACCACCACCACACATGTATCTGCCTTCAGGCCCCCAGAATTCAGTTTATCTTCTCCCAG